TTTAATAAACAAATTTTAAAATATTTTACAATATTATTGATTTTTTAATTTTTAAACTTAACCATTAAATTTTAAACCATCTGCGATTGGTTGAGTTTAATTTTTGGTAAAAACGCCTAGGACCAGGGGTGGAACCAGAAATTTTTTTCAAGAAGATGAAATAATTTTTTATATATTAGTTTATAAAATTTTCAAATTTGGAAGGGAATAAAATAATTTTTCATATATTAATTACAAAAAATTTGAAATTTTAAAGGGGCTAGCGCCTCATCGCAACACCCCCCCTCCCCCCCGACGCCCTAGGACGTATTCGAATGCAGCCTTTCGATTTATAATTTCGATCGGTTCCAATTAGACTTGATAATTTTTTACCCAACTCGTTAACTCGTTCATTACTCACCCATTTAAAATAGGTTAGGGTCATATGTTTATGATCCGTGATCCGTTAATGACCCGTTAAGAGAATCCAACGGGTCATGAGTCAATAACGAGTTGACTTATTGGGTTAACGGGTTTAATCCATTTACCGGTTTAAAAATATAAAATTTTTTAATTTATTATTTATTTATTTTGTGTTTCAATTCCCAATCCCACCTAAACCTCTAATAATTGACTAATATTCCTTAATTACCTAATATTCCCTAATTAACTAATTGATTCTCTTGACTCATCATCTTCTAGAAGTAAAAATAATCCCACTTCACTCATAACTCACCTTCCGACCTTTTCTATTCTTACTTGCCCTAATACTCTCGAAGACTCTAACTCTTCAAACTTCAAACTCTTCTCATATTCTTCAACCTCGATAATTCTTACAACCTTTGACTTTCAAGTTTCGACTCCACCTTTTCTCTTTTGTCTTTAACATTATTTCAGACTTAAATCTTAATCTTATCAAGTCACCGTTGCGTCCACTCAGCCTTTTCTTTCTTTTTCCTATGAGTCTGGCGAGTGCTCTTTTTGTCACAAACTTTTTTCTCTAAATACTTCAAGGTAAGTTGTTTACTTATTTATGCTTTTTAGTTTTCTTTCCATTCCAAGTAAAAATTTTACTTGATTTTTTTCTTTACTTACTTAGATGCATTCAATTGATTATT